AAATGACAGTCCAAAAATGCATATCACCATGCAGTGTAATGATTCCTAACAGGGTTATAATTGTGATTTTGTTCCTCACAAGGGCTTCATAAAGAATTATAGCAACTGAAAATGTAAACATTACTTAGACAGTATATTGATCCATACTGAAATAATGTGAATATTAAAATCTTAGAGCTCAATATTTCTCCAGCAACACCACTAAACTATATTAAATTAATATGCTATTTTATATGTATTTTATTGTTAAATTTGTACATTTTCAAAGCATAAAGCCTGTGGGGTTTGGTGTTCATCAGTTTTGTAGGGGTTTTGTCATTTAATATTTGCAGAGTAGTAATCTAATCCTTAACACTTCAACAGTAAGTTTTCTTTTTACTGAAAATGAGCAATAAATCAATTTTTGATCATCAGTTTCAAATGAAATGATAATCAGTCTTTAGGTAGATATAAACCATAAAATATACAATCTCTCTTAAAATTTGTGTCTGCAATTTTCTTTTCTGCTGTTTGTATGCAATAGAATATATTCATTATTTTTGCAAGTAACAATAACCAAGACATTACAGCTTTCCATGTTTTCATAAATACTATATTAAATGCTCAAATATTAATTATGAAATAAATCATAAAGGGTTTTTTTAGATGTATTTATCTATAGTCAATAATTGAAATTAAGAATGAAGATTAATAATGTATACATTGATTGTGCAGTGCATGCACAAATTTTCAGATGTGTAATCATTAAAGATGCCTACATTATGTGTAGCCATTTTGAAGCCAGTGCTTCACATTATCATTCTAGGCTACAAATACAATTTTTATTAATTGTAATAAATCATAACCATACTCTTCATATTTTTGTGAAATATTATTATTCTAATAGTAATTTAGGCTGCACATTTCTTCATGTGCTATCTTCTGAAAATTGGACACTGAAAATTGAGTGCTGTATATAGGAAATTAGCCATGTCAGTGCTTAAAAATTTCAATGTACATTCAAAATATTTATTTTCTTACATATTGCATGAATTCAGGTATTATTCAGAGATAATATCTTTGCAGCATTTGATAGCTGTCTCCTCTGGAGTTTATGGAGTTTTGTGTTTGTTCTGGCACCTTGCCCAGCAGCAGGTATTCTCATACAGTCCTAGACAAAACTACCAAGTTTAGGAGTTTTTATACTATATGCTCTTTTGGCTTGGGGGGATTGAAAATGAGTTACAGGAAGGACAATAGTTGGTGAAGGTTTGTTGCTTTTTTTTTACTTTTTAACAAAGACTTTATTTATTTGTTATACATTCTCCTTAAGTTTTACTTCTGTCAGCAGTAATTTTTTTTTCCATTTAAAACTTGGGTTCAAACAAACACGTACATTAATGGTACATTTATGGGAAATGTATGTATGTAAAAGGTGTCTTCCTGCCATTCATCCAGATAGTGAAAGGTTGAGAATTATGGTTATAATCTTACCAAAATATTAAATAGATGGGTTAATAATGCTTTGTTTTAGTGTTCATCTGCTAAAGAATACCATTGGAAATGAAAATCAGTGCTGTCTAATAGGCACTAACACAACTGCAACCATAACTACTGACTTATAGATCCACAATTTGTGGAAATAGTTGCTTTTGGGATCTGATATTTTCCCAGGCTTGGCCTCTGCTAAGTAATTATTTATTTATTTGTAAAAGTTTGCGTGAAATGGGTATGGTTTCAAAGGACTGGGAGCACCCCTGGAGTGTCACAAAGGCTTTGATGTTGCAAAGGCAGCTGAGTCAATTCAGGGGTAAGAGCTTGATTGTGCCCTCTCATCCCCCTACCAAAGCCTGTGTGGTCAGCTGGCTGCCCTTCGGAGCTGGCCAGCAGTGGAGCTTTCAGGCCAGTGGGCCAGAGAGCAAAGTTAACCTTCTAGACTCCTCTCTGAGCTCTGAATGTAAACGCTGTCATTTTTTGCCTCTCTGTGGCCTGTGAATGGATCCAGTGTGCTTGAGCAAATCCAGGCACAGCTGATTGGGAAGGTGATGGTGGTGGTACTCCAGACAAAGGAATTGCAGAGATGACAGTCCATGTTGAACCCTTCCTTTGTTGCTACCACCGGGAAGTGCTGTGTTCTTACCCTGTGCTCCTCTCAAATGCACTGGTAATGAACCCAGATGGAATTGTAAACGCAGTTTAAAAAAACCTGCTCTATAGCACAGCAGCATTTCCCTTCTCTGGGTGCTCCTACTATGTACCAAATGCATGAATAAAGCATGCTAATTGTGGACATGAGCTGAGGTGAGTGCTGTTAGATCCTTAAAATTTGGGTTTCCTGATTTTATGATTAGCTATGCACACATTTACTTTAATATTAATGTCATTCAACAGCTGTTTCTATAGGAAGATATATCATACAAATGAGTTTTCATTACAATGGCAGCAAATAAATCCTTTCAGGGGAATTTTTTTAGGGAGCAGGAATACAATAAGCCCTTTAAAATAATATTCCCTAAAATATGCAGAAAACAGCAGATTGCAACAATTTATATTTGGTGTCTTCTGTCTAACACAAGTCCTACTGTCTTCTTAAGAGAAAAACTTATTAATTCTAATAATTTTTATCTTTAAAATCTTAGACTTTCAGATTGACAAAACCAGTGGGACTTTTGTCTTTAGTTAAATCTAATCTATTGGATAAACTAGCACTATACTCCCTTTGGAATTGTCTTTTTTCTATCAGTTGCATGTAATTTGTGCCAATAATTCCAAAGAGCACAGTGTCAAATGAACTAAGATGACATTGCATTTGTCATGAGGCTGTTATGAGGTTGATACAAAGAGACTGTTATTTTTCACTATAGTGCATACTTTAATTTGTTGAAAGTGCTTACAACAAGCACTTTCATAGTTTCACAATTGCACAGTTTTTAAATTAAGATTGATGATTGCAGTCCTAGTAATACCAACATCACACTACTCTGTACATCACAGATTGCAAAGTGGCTTATGTTCCTGACCCAGTCGCCTTTCAAGACGGTGATCATGGCCTCTAAGCCTGACAAGACCGATCACAAATAGTTCTCTTAGAGATACCATGTATTAAAACAGTATAATTATTAATTTTCTGTTTTTGTTGATGCCAAGATGCCCAGTAGACAGACACTCCTAGAAGAGTGTCCTGCTCAGATGGAGGTAGGAAATACTCCACTGAGTCCAAATCCAGATCTGCACCTGCAAGGCATCGGGGGCAGGAAGGGCCATCAGATATATTCAATAAGTTTGGGTCCTCCAAAGTCTGCAATGTAACTCTGCAATGATACTGTGACCAACAAAATTACTTAGCAGCTGTGTGGCAGGATTAGGTGTGATATGTGATTTCTAAACCTAAGTTTACAAAGGAATAGAAAATATAGGGTATTTCTTGGGTTGTGGTTGAGTCTTTTTCATCTGCTTCATCTGTAGTAGTCACTGTCTCTACACCTTAGTGAATTCAGAAAGCAAAGAATCAACCTAATTTTATTCTTAGGAGAGCAACCAAGGAAAATAACAATCTGAGAAAGCTGAATTATTTATTGGTGGAGGAAATCTCAAAATTCAGGTTGAATTGGATTGACATGTCCCAGAACAGCAGAGCCACTGAGCTGAAGCCTCATGTTACCATGGGTGTCAGACTTGCATGGTCTTCTTCTAGCTCATTGATCAGAAGTGCTAAGGCACTTTGGATTTTTATCTGTGAACATGCCATAGAACCATTTGGCTTTATAAACCCCTGAAAATCAGGTGGAGATTCTTACTTTGGCTGCACATCTGGCAAGCACATACATTATCACATTAGATTTTTAAGTGCCTATAGTTTCACAGCATGTTTATGTGTGGAGTGGAAGGAATCCACTCAACAGCTAATTTTTTCCACTGTTCCAGTTACATCGTCTCACATGCTACAGTTTTACTCAGATGTCACCTTCTCACATGCTATATTCAGATGTCTCATAAACCAAATATATGCAAAATGACCTTTCCTCCATGCTCATGTTGTCATCTATATAAAAATTTCCAAGCATCACATGATATGAAACATTTAATTTTGTTCTCATCTTGCAATTAACTCCAGTCTCATTGTAAATTTTTCAAACTTTTACAAGCAATACAAAATCAGATCTATAACCTACAATGCTCTGGCAGGTCAATGGCAACCTCACAATAAGAAATACAACCTTTTTTTAAAATTTTTGTATGAAAACTTTATTTTGCATACCATGGTGTTTACACTTGCTATAGCACTGCTTTTATGCATATTACAGCTAAAGGAGATGGCTTTAATTGCTACAACACTGTTCTGCAAGGTATATACTGAGAAGAAAATTTGCCTTATATAGATCAAGCAGGTTTTTGCTATAGTGATCAAATGTTACAAGCTCACAGCATTCACAGAGAACTTATTTTGGTTTTGTGGACACAAAAGTGTTTATAGTAAATGTTTCACTCTGAATGCTGGTACATTTGTGTTACTTCATACATCTGAGTGAAAATACAGTTTGTTTCTGTGGAGCACAGGAGGGGAAAAGAGATCTTAAAGTTTAAACTCGGAGGTAGCTATGTTTGTAAACTCCCCAGTACAAACTGACGAGCATTATATATTATAAAGTCTATCATGGTTTCTGTCTGTGCTGCAATATTATAATTATTTATAATATCCTTTAAGATTTCTGTATGATGGCCAGTGTTATAAATGTAAGAATGTAAGACTATGGTGAAAAATAATATTGTCAAGTGCTTTAAGAAGCTTATAGGTAAAACATCTGACCTATAACAAAATAATCTTAAAATCTGGTTTGGGAATTGTATTGATCAAGTAGAGCAAATTCTTCGTAAATTTTACCCAAGAATTTCTGATAACACCTGAAAAAGTAAAGTTCATACTAATTTTTTTTTTTTTTCTGAATTATGAAGAACAAGGATTACTTTGAGTGGAAATGTAACACATTGGTGAATTAATTTTCTTGTTTCCTCAAACACAGATCTGCAGGCTTCAGCGTCATCTATCAACAGGAAAATACCAGCAGAATCTCTTTTCAAACCAGCCTGTCATGTTTGTATCTCCTACCAGTCAGCCCCCCTGCAATCAGCTAATTGAACTTATACAGCTGGCAGGAGGGAAAATATGTAAAGCCTTACGTCAGGCAAAAATCTGTATAGGAAAAAAACCAGGAAAGAAGTACCAGGAAATAATATCTTTATCAGAAAAATGGGTATTAGGTAAGACACCAAATTTCAACTTGTATAGAATATTGTAGAATATGTATTTTAAAAGTTATCAAAAGTATTTCACTAAACTGAGGTTATGAAGGGAAGAAAATTGAACCAACTGCTACTGCTAGATTTTCAGGAAAGTTGTCTTTATGGTGAGATCTTTCTCTTACAGCTAAGATGGTCCTGGTACTCCCCATTTTAATCTTTCCTAGGACAAATATCATCCAAATATTTTCAAATTTAACTTTTGTATGATGGTTTAATTTAGAGCAAATTAAATAAATTATGGGAAAATGCCTATATGAGAATTGCTTTCAGAAAAAGCATATATTTCAACTTTAGATGTAGTTTTAACTGGTGTAAGTTGGCATAGTAATACTGAAATAGGTGACTGGCACCCTCTGATAAATTTTCCTGAATGCTGTATGGTACATCAGAAAGACAATTTTTGCAGTCTCCATTTCACTTGCAAAAAGTTTCTTTTTAACACCTGCTGTTATGTTTCTGAGTTCTTAGTCTATCATTTTTCCAACTCATTTGCAACCCATTCTCATAGACTCTGTTTTCAGCACAAGTATTTTCCAAAAAGGGACCTTATTTAGAAAAAGTAAGCTTTAATTTATGTCATATGCTCTGTCAAGCTTCTCCAGAAAGTGTGTCACTCATACCCTAGCAATAAATGTACTACAGGAGTTGATATTATGTGACAGTAGCCAATCAAGTCCTAATCTCTTGACCTCAAATGCTGTCAGATCATAATGACTTAAAACTTGAATGACAATACCATTAAAGAAGAAAGGAAAAGTGAGCCATGAGGGAAAAATACTCTCTAAATGCACATTTTATGTCATACTTACTTAAAGTATAAGATAAAATTGTGAAGATTGGTGAGAGAGGTGTAAGAAGGTGGCATTGTTTATTGTACCTTTCTCCAGTTTCCAGGAAGACTTAGAGAGCAAGTGTGCAAACAAACAAAAAAAAAAAAAAAAAAAAAAAAAAAAAAAAAAAAAAGTGAGTGGGTGGTGAAACCAGAGGGGTTTGTGCAGGACTAAAAATAAGAGTAAACTGAACACAAAAGTTTCTAATAGTAGTGCCAGATGGACAAATGCAATGATCTAAAGCAGTGTGTGATATATGTGTCCCACTCTTGTTCTGGTCTCATGGAGGTCTGCCTTATCCCAGGTCTCATGAGCTCCCTGCAGCTGCACAGGCCACCTTCAGCCCATCAGTGGACTGAAGGAATTGCATATCCAGCTGCTAACAAATAAGATTCTAAATATTTTGTGCTGTTTACAGATTTCTCAGTTCATTTTTGCAGTCTGATTTCTAATCACTAGGTCCTGCTCACAAGGCATGGTCACACTCCAGTTAATGGGTTTTAATTCATTTTGATGAATCATACAATCTCTGAAAAAAGTATTTCTGTACAATGCTTTAAAGGAATTATATAGAGCTTTGAAGCTCTGCCCCTTTCTCAGCCTCTGTGTGCATAATAGTATGAGCAGTGTCACCTATAAATTGCTGTCTTAATCAAATAAATCAGATCTGAAGGTGTTTCTAATCTTTCACATTCAGCTGTTGCAATCCAGTTGGTTTGTGGCTATCTGCTCTCTGCTATTAATACCAGCTGCCAATTAATTCACTTAAGGTTGACCAGAACAAAAAGCACATAGCTCAATAATGCAGCACCCTTTTTAAATTTTAAGTAAATGGTAAGTGCTTGCACTATTATCATTTGACTGTTTGCATTTATTTTCTCTCTCTGGGTTCTAAGCACCACCAAACTGCTTTATACTAGAATCTGCTCTGAAGTACATTGTTGCTTTATCATCTGTTTCTTTTGCATTTTATTTTAAATAATCCTGGGGTGTTTTTTATTTATTTTTAGATTCAATCACTCAATATACAATATGTCCTATGGAAAACTACATTTTTTAGATGTGAGCTAACTCAAGAGTTTCCATATGGTTGTAACGAAACACGCCTAACTTGGATTCGACAAAAAAATAAGCTGTGAAGGAAATTTTGGAGAAAATGCAAGTTACAGACTTATAAGTACAGAGGATCAATTACTGTATTTTTAAGATTTGTGCAAGTGTTCATCTTGTGAAATTTTTATATTTTGAAATAAAGTATTTCCCTAATAAAAGTCATCTTCCTTTTGTTTGTTTGTTGAAGACCTTTGGAACTAAAATCTGAAGGAATTATTCACTGGGAGGGAGTGGAATCTTCTAGTGTTCAAGCAAGGTCAGTCATGTTGCAGTGCAGTAAAAGATGTGCACTCAGCATGGGTGAGTGTGCCTGAGCTGGGTCTGGTGCAGTCAGCGGGAGCTGTGATCCCAGGGCAGACGCAGGAATCCTGTTGGTTCTTTAGTCCAAGTGCCTCTGCACACACCTGTAGGGCTATGTTGCCACATCTTCACCACCACTGCTAAATGCATTTCACTGGTAAAAGGATAAGGTTGCCCATGGTGCTCAACTCACACCCGCTGGTGTAATCTTGCACTTCTAAACTGCGTTTTCAAAAGTAAGTGAAACTCAGTAATTTATGTTCAGATATGTTAAGATATTGTTTTATTTCAATGCCTTTAATTGAATCTCAAAATGTGTCTACCTTACACCTAGGCTGAAACAACAGTTACTGACTCTGAGTTAAATGCATTAAGACAGCACATCATTCAAATACTAAAATCTGTTGAAAAGGGAACATACTATGAAATCCTTTAGGTATTCCTGCAAAATGTATGCAAATGTCTCACATGTTAAATTCCTCTTTAATCTGTAGATTTGTTTTTAGCAGGTACAAAGTGAGGTTTCTATGTAAAATATGTTGCATAGCATCTGTTATCTATAAATGTACAAGTTTCTTTAAAGACTTCAAAGCACCAGATATCAAAATGATGCATAATGTCAGAGTAATGTTATCAAGTAATTTAAAGGCAGCTCATAACTCACACTTTCCAAACTCAATGTTCCCCTCAGAGTTCCCTCAGTGTAAGAAAATGCAAGCTCTGTACAAAAAAAATATTATTTTGAGTTAATATTATGAAAAATCAAAGTATAATGGTTGATTTTTATGTTATTTTTACATTGCCGTTCTATTGCATTGTTCTAATTCTTGGGATTTTGAAGAGATTTGAATATAAAAGTTCTGCAAACAAGGATTATACAATCTTTTTCTTCAAAACAAGTTCAGCAGTATCTGTGGGTGACAGGCTGTTTCAGGTACAAATTGCATTTGTACAGTTGCTCTGTAAAATGTTACACATATATATAATGGAAAGCTCCACATTATGATTCTTCTATGGAAAATTAAACTGATTTTATTTTCTGAAATGCTAAGCACCTGTAACTCAAAAGGTTAAGACCTCGTTTTCAAGTGTTACATAGCTGGATTTGATGTGTAAACTATAAAATCTAATTTGCTGAGGACTTTTCCTTGCTTAGTTTTCTGATATTCAAATTTTTAACAGTGGAAAGAAAAAAGTAGGAGAAGTATGTTTGATATAAAAACTGTTATGTTTGATACAAAATTTGGTAATCATGTCTGTCTACAAAATGTACACTTTATCATCAAAACTATTTACCTGTTCAGTGCAGAGCACTGGTAATATGTTACCACTATTCAGCCTTGACCTTATGAGCCCCCTTATTAAGAAGGTAGTTGCCAAGTATTATAGAGTAAAATAAAAATACTTATATACATTGTGGCATGTGAACATATGGTTGCCAGTACATAGCAGAATCATTTGTTTGAATTATACTGCTTTACTTTGACTATAACAACCTCCTGGTTTTATTTTTTAGCCATTTCCTAAGTGTACTACCCATAAAAATCTGTCACTATTAATTTATAGAATATAGCACTCCAAATCAGCTTTCTCATAAATCTTCTTAAGATTAGTCTCAGCTATTTAAGTTGTAAATTCTTGGATCATCTTGTTGGTCTTTATTAGCCACACATGTAACAGACTTGACAGTGAAAAGTCTAATACCCTTTTATCCTAAACTAAAAGGTTTCCAGAAAAACAATAATCTGCCAATTCAGATGATTCCACCTTAAATTCTATGGTTGATAGAAATCCCTATCTATTGGCTCTTGCAGAATTTGTAGTAGACAGGCAGATATAGCCAGCAGGAAATTGAATTCCAAATTCTGGTCCCACATTCTGGGCAATAGGACTGCTGTCCACCCTGATTGATTGCTTTCTAAGAGTACACCCAGCACCAAGAAGCATCAGTGATTCATGAGTAGTTTTGAGTTCTGAGATCTTTGCAATGTGCAGTGGTCAGGGAACATTCTGCCACAGCACAGCTGTGTGCTCTCTCCTCTGCAGACAGGTACTGGATCTCCTTCTTGGGAAGATCTATGTTTACTAATTTCCTTTATTGCTTGCTTTCTGTTTTGTTTTGTTTTTTGCTTTTTTGAACATCTTTTTTGTGCAGGAGAAGTTGTCTTAATCTTACCTTTTTCATCCTGGAAGAATACTTTTGCCATTCATTTGTGAAAATGACTCAGCATAGCTGCCGTGTCTCCTCCTCAGAGAGCTTCTGCTCCCCTGCAAAAACCTCTCTAGCTCAATCCCATTAGTACAATTAAAGGTCTTTCTAAGATAGCTTAATTTGATTAGGAATCTGATTAAACCAAAATATATTGGAAAGTCAAAATAAATATTATTCCTCTGTGAGAGTCACATTAGCTGAGCTAATTTGTAAATGTGGTTTAACTTCTAGCACATTTTAACTTATTTTACTTTTATCAGTGCTGAAGGTAGTACCAGTTGGGTGCACAGACCAATATCCCTCCCACCCTACCTCTTCCAGAGATGAGAAGAGCTTTTACCACACTTGGTGTAATTTAGTTGGGACTCATATTTGCAAATACACAAATACTGAGGATAAACACAGGCATGGCCTTGAAGAATATGTTGCTCAAGCTGTGTCAGAATGGCAGCAAAATTGGTGTCCTCTTCAAACCATATATCCATAAAAAATGGCTAAAAAACTTTCTTAGTTTCAGTGACTAATAATGTGAGATTTCCAAGGATGTGTTTGAAAGAAGAATGCCAGTGAGGTAGGTGGATGTTATGTCTCTTTTGCCCCTTTCTCTGTTTTTGTAATCAGTTTTAGATTGTAACTGCGTTTTTGGTAAGTATATCAATACAGTAAAAAGTCTCTAAATATTCACAGTGATCCCAGTATATGAACCATCTGGAATTGACTTACTAAACTACAGATTTGCTGAGCTGGTTTTATGTTTCTGGATATCTTCCTGACTCAAATATGGTCAACGTTTTGGAGATTGTTCCTTTTAAAATAAAAATAACTGATAAAAACTATTTCATCACTTGATCATCTGTTTATAGTTCCACTGAAATAAACTTGGGTTATATTAATTGATCTGTATAGAATATAATTTTGCACAACTGCATTATGTGCTGAAGTGTTATCAGCACATTCAGTGCTAGGAAGCTGCCAGCACACACTCTTTTTTTTTTTTTTTTTTTGGTGAAAAACCTTAGGGACTGTGAGGCAAAGGTGCTCTAAATTAGTCTTTCTGGGCAGGTGCTGTAGCTGTGTGGAGCAGTGTTTCTAATACCTACAAAGCTTAAAGTTGAGATATATACCAGTAACAACATCTAGAAAACTGATTAAACTAGTTGTTTTTTCTTCCAAATAAACCCATAACTACAAAAAAAATTAAATATTTCCTCACACTAAAAGCTGAAAAGTATTAACAAGCCTCTGTCAGTGCCAGCAGTCTTTAATGACAGCTCTAATAAAATAAAACCAAATAGCTGTGGTCCTGTTGTAATAAACAGGGTTTAATTTCTGATCTCCTTTTATTACTTTATTTCAAAATTACTTCTTTGCATGACAGAACCAAGCAGCAGGCTCTGGAAGAGTATTGCCTGTACTACAGCATCATGCAGCAGCTGATAAACCTGCCAGTGGTAAAAAAATAACCACTGTTATCAGCACAGGTGTCTGCTGAGAGCTTTTTTGCTAGGATCTCACAAAGCAGGATTTTCCTTCTGTTGATACAGATGTGAACCAGCCTCTAATCACCCAGGAGTGGCTCAGGCTGCTGTGCAGGACCGAGGTGTTAAGTAGCAGCCAGGTGTGATGCAGAACTGCACGTTTCCTTGGATGTGTGACACAGTGCTGGAGGCACAGCCCTCCCAGCTGCCAGCACCTCCTCACCTTCCTCACTCCTGGCAATCTCGGGCTCACTCTGGCTGAACCTTCCTGTGACCTCTTCCGTGCCAGCTTGTGTTGTTTGCCTTGTAGCATCTGCTCTCTGGAAGGCACCTGAGCTATCACTAGAGGCAAAACTGCTACGGGGTGTTTATCTTCCAAGGGGATTTATCAGTGCCCACAATGCCGTTCACATTGTTTTAGAGATTTGTTTAAAGGAAAAAAAAAAAAAAGGTGCAGCTACGTGTTAATTGGTGAAAGGATTGGTACCACCAGTCCAGACAAGTTTAGGCTTTGCTTGGGGATTGTTTTTTCCTTCTTCATCACAGATGTTATGGAGCTATACACTCGGAGTTTTTAAGAGAGAAAACCAGGTCTTTAGGAGGGTGTGTGAAGGGAGGTGGTTTCACAATATTATTGATGTGACATGAATGTGATATGGCAGCTGAAGCTGAAACTTGGAAACTCTTCTGCAAGTGGTTACTTTTTCAAGTACATAAATCTCTTTTAAGACCCTGCTTTTTCAAAACTTTAAATAATTAAAGAAATCCACTTTAAAAATTACAGGAGATAGCTTCATGATTGAGAACTGTTAAGGAGATGATCTCATCTCTAAATTGCATTTTCAGTTGTTGGATACAAGTTAGACTTGGATACAAGTTAGACTTGGATACAAGTTAGACTTCCATATAAGTATGGGGAGAGGTAAAGAAAAACAATTTTCCAGATTTTCTGTTCTGGAGTGAAGCATTCCAGCTCATTCACTCAAACTGAAATTTGCTCAGGGGAAGTTTTGCTAAGTAAGTAGTCCCATGGATCTAGAGATAAGCCTAAATCCAAGATTATTTTTATGCATGCAGTATGGAAATTGTCATTACTTTAAATGTTCTGTGCAACACATTGTGGATAAAACTAAACCAATATCCAATATTCTGCATTATACTTCTTAAA